TCTTTTATCCTGTATTTAGATCTTGTGTTCTCTATCTTGAATTTAGATCTTTTATTCTTTATCTTAAATTTAGATCTTGTGTTCTCTATCTTGAATTTAGGTCTTCTATTCTTTATCTTGTGTTTAGGTCTTCTATTGTCTATTTTGTATTTAGGTCTTCTATTCTTTATCTTGTATTTAGGTCGTCTATTCTTTATCTTGTATTTAGGTCTTCTATTCTTTATTTTGTATTTAGGTCTTCTATTGTCTATTTTGTATTTACATGTTGTATTTCAAGTCTTAAAATACCTTGGACAGCCATAACGAGCAACCAAGAGGTTTTGAAAGAGGCAGGAGCCCAAATACAACTTATCACAGACATCAGGAGAAAGTCATAATTTTTCGGCCATGTTATGAGAAAAGACAAAATGGAACATGATGTGACCGCTGGAAAGATCTGTGGAAGGGAGGATAGAGGAAGACAACGAGAGAAGATTCTTGTGTCTTGTTGCATGGCATAGAAATGTGTCAGCACATGAGCTGATACATGCTGCAGGAGATCGCAGGATTGTGGAGAGGCATGATTGCCCACGCGTCTGCAAGGCACCTGATTCCAAGTCTTGTATTTAGATGTATTCTTTGTTTTGGGGAGTCGCTGTGGCCGAGCGGCTAGACGCTCGCCGCGGATTGGAAGGTCGTGGGTTCGCTCCCTGGCAGAGCCGGACTTTGTTAAAAAATGACCTTGGCTCCCAGCCTTGAGTGGGTACCAGGTGGTCCCGCCCGGGAAGTAAAGGCGGCCGGCGTGAGGCTGACCACATCACCCATCTTGTGCCGATTGGTCTATAAAAATATAGGTCTAGCTCTATATGCCTAAAGGTGTGGAAAAGGGTCCTTTAATTTATTGTCTGTTTTGTATTTAAATGTTGTACTCTCCATCTCGTATTTAGATTTTATTTATCCATTTTGTATTTATTCTATTCTATTCTCTATCTTGTATTTAGATGCCATCTCTCAGTCTTGTATTTAGATCTTCTGTTCTCTCTCTCTTGTATTTCAATGTATCTTGATCTTCTATGCCATTAGCACCTTGTTGCAGTTTCTGTCTGTAGATTAGAACCACATTTGTCACATGTGAAACTGAACATGTTTAGGTTTAGACGAGATCAAAATCTAGGCACGAGGGGTCACCCATTAGTTCTCAGTTCTACTTCTAACTCAAGCCTGAGTCCGAAGAATTTCAGCGCAGTGCACGAAATCCGTAGCACCAGCGAGGATCCTTAAATACTTTGGGTAGATTTTGTACTCCAAATTTTGCCTGGGCAGTGCCATCAGGCTACTTTTTTAAATTTCTAACTGCCACAGGATTTTTTTTACGTCCGCAACAATACACACGGGTGTCCGTTCTTACTACCCAGAGTCCAGGGGAGAGTGCTAGAAGTCCACATGAAAAAATCCCAGCCTGAACCTGGGACCTCCAGCACGGGAGGCGGATGCTTTGACTTAGGACTACTCAGCCCCCATGCAAGTTTCTTTGTGGGAAATCGGTCTGCAAAATACAGATAACAACAAGCTACAGAGGCTAACAAAATACTTGTACTATAGCATGGAAGAATGAATAGGCTATATCACTTTCTTTATCTTGATCCACACACATACTTCATCATGTAGTGCCATTTAAAACCATTATGGACTCGCATACATTCTTTCATTCCATTATATCCTGAGCAACTGTCAGTATCATGGATGGAATCCAGTTCAGCACTTTTGGCCTCTCTTATCAACCTTCTTCTTAGAGCATACACGGCAATGCCAAACACAAAAAACAAAGGGAGCAAGAGGACAACATAGACTAATGAATCCATGACGACCTTCCAGCGACCGACAGATGGCAACTGCAGAGTAGAAAGAGTAACGGGAAATTGTGAGGGAAAAAATAGGGTGACTTTATTAATTTATTGATTATTTGTTTCAATGATACAAGGGAACATCAGTTGGAAACCCATTCTCACAAACTCTGGTTCACACTATCTCAAGGAGCATAAGCCTTGTTTAAGTGTAGAATAATAATAATTTGCCGAATAGCAAATAAATATATTTAAAATAATATATACACACAAAAACTTAAAAAGAGAATTTTATAAATGACTGCTGCTTTGCTTTAAAAAAAATAACATTCAACCAGCAATCCTGAAGGGGGAGCTTCAGGTTATAATTGTGACCAGGTTAAGTACACCATATAAAATGGCTTGGCATTGCACGCCACCAAGAGCCCTGAAAAGGAGTCCTGCAGTTCTGATGCCATCAAAGGAGGCAGACCAAATACCTTCCTGACCGGCAACAAAGTCGTCCACCGGCGGGCCACTGGGCAACCCGGTCAGCCATGCTGCTGGTGGGGGTCTTAGCCTTATTATCAACATGCCCCACAATACAACACCTAAGTAAACTGGCCTGTTCTAGAGCATGCACTTGAGGGCCATGATAACATCAGATGGAATATGTTCAGTAAAATGTAGAACTGCTCAAAGAAAGACAGCATTTCACAAACTGAAGAATATTGTATGCAATCTTTCTTTGTCAACTGAGATGAGGAAGAGAATTCTTATGAGCTACATTGTTCCAATCCTGATATATTGGAGTGAATCATGGACAATTAGCTGATTAGTGAACAATTATGTGAAAGCGGTAGAGATGTGTTTTATAGACAAATTAGGAGAATGTCCAGATGAGAGACAAATTAAAATGAGGATGTCTTGCAAGAAATTAACTCAAGAAGAGAACTGATGGCTAATATAAAAAGGAGATTCCCCGTGTGGGTTCTGGGATCCAGTTGTGGGGAAAACAAGAATTGACCCACTGCCTCCCCAAAAAGCATGTCCTATGATTCGACTAATGGGGGGTTTCTTTCAAAGTCAGAGTACATCTGCTTGAGAGGCAAGGAATCAACAGTCTGCATACAAATAAGTCAGATCTGTCAAATGGATGTGTAGGCAACACTCAGGTTCTGGAACAAGTCTAAAGTCCGCAGGTGGATGAACAACTTGAACTTTCCATCAGAATTTGCAGCCGGTGATCACCAAGTTAAGAGAAAAGGAGACAGTCTACATTCTTTGTTCACATCAGGAGGAGAAAAGGATACATCATGATGGTGGAAAAGTTAAGAGGGTGGAAGGGGCAGAGGGAGATACCGGACAGTTTGACATCATGGCATGGAAGATCATCCGTCGGACTTAAAATACATGAAACAGAAGGCTGTGGATCAAAATGACTACCAACGCTATAATATGGTGGGGACTATATGAAGACTGTAGACTCATTATATGTACACATTACAATATGCAGGACAGAATTTCCATTTCAGATGTCTATAAATGACAACCTCCCTGTATCGGTTCCTTTGGAGAAAGACCAGGAGTGGACTAAAAACTAGAACCTTCTGCCAGAGTTAACAGTCTGTGAATGAAAAAAAAAAACATCCCAGAACAAGTCAACTTTACAAGCTGGCCATTTGAGGAAAAACTCTTTATAGACTTCCAAGCAACAGCTGTAAATCCTTCAGCAAATCTCTGAGTACATCTGTTCATCTCCAACTGTTGTTATGGTAGGACATTTGAGGACAGACAGACAGCTACTCTTCACTGACATCCCGTGGACAGCTACACATCCTTGAGCAAATCTCTGAGTACATCTGTTCATCTCCAACTGTTGATATGGTAGGACATTTGAGGACAGACAGACAGCCACTTTTCACTGACATCCCAGGGACTGCTACACATCCTTGAGCAGATCTTTGAGTTGACCCGACTTCTTCAAACTGCTGAGATCGTTGCTGCCACCAATACACTTCCCATTGATGAAAATACGTGGAACCTGCAACAGATAAACACAAAACCGGAACCGGATAAATATTGTCAGAAAAATCGGTAAGTAGTGTGGCATTTCCAGGCTGAGGAACAGAGGCAGTTTGAACAAACAGATGCTGAAATATGTCATTATCATCATCATCACCACCACCATTCTGCTGTGCTGTTATATGTCACATAGGGCTCCCTGTCTATTCTCCTATTTCATTCTATCCCGGGCAATTCTCTCGAAATCATGGATGAAATCCAGTCCAGCACCTTTATCCTCTCTCAGCGACGTTCATCTCTGCTTCTCCAATTTTAGAATCTGTTTAGTGATTCTCTAGCCACTCTTCCTGGGAATGTGCCCAATATATCAGTCTTCTTTTTTTTTTCTTCTTTTTAAAACTGTTGGTACATTACAGACATTTTTCTTACTTCTTGAATTCTTCCTCCCCGTGTATAGGGAAAACAAGAATAGACCCATTGCCTACCCAAAAGCATGTCGTAAGAGTCGACTTGGGAGCTTCCTTCGAAGTCGGAGTGCATCTGCCTGAGAGGCAATGAACCAGCAATCTGCATACAAATCAGTCAAATTTGTAAAATGGATGCACACCCAACACTCAGGTTCTGGAACAGGACTGCAGTCCAGAAGTGGATGAACAACCAGAACTTTCCGCCAGAGTTTACAGCTGGTGAACGCAAAGAAGAAGAAGAAGCATTCATCCCATTTGATGCTCATAAATTTGCTCAGGCATTTGTTTTCTAATGTATTTAATCACATTGGTGTCATGCCTTTAGTGGTAATAAGCTTTCAGTGCAACATTGTACAGGTTGAGATTTCCATTTCATCTCACCCAGACAAAAAGCATAAGCCTTACTAAGAATCTAACATATTCCATAATTTATGTACTGACTTGCCTCCATAGCATCATTTGCTCTTTTGCTTCAAACATTTGGTGAGAGCACATTTAATAAATCTGGCTTACCCATACAGTCACTACTAGTATGTATACTTGTTAGACCAATGTCTTAGAAAAATATGAAATCACCACTGGACAGATTTCAAGTCCAATATGCAAGTAAGACAAGAGACCAAGCAAGATAATGTATCCAATTTGATAAGAAAGCGCTGCTGGAACTACATGGGTCATGCGCTCAGAGTGGATAAGACCAGACTCCCCCATCAAGCCCTCAGATGGACACCAGCAGGGATAAGACCAGACTTCCCCATCAAGCCCTCAGATGGACACCAGCAGGGAAAAGACCAGACTCCCCCATCAAGCCCTCAGATGGACACCAGCAGGGATAAGACCAGACTCCCCCATCAAGCTCTCATATGGACACCAGCAGGGAACAGAAAACAGGGAAGACCAAGAGAGACCATGGGTTTAACAAACATCCAAAACCTAAAACAAGTGGTAATAAACCGCCAGACATGGAGAGCTATGACCTCTGCCCTAGGCTCAAGAGAAAAGACAAACTAAGAATGTATACTGCGAATTAGAGGTAATGCATTTATAATTTTTCATCACTATTATTTCTTCGCTGTGGCATCTCCTGCCAAGCCTGGTACTGAAAAAGTTTAACAAACATGTTACAGGGGGATCTGGCTGACAATTGACACTCAGGGATAAGGCGAGACGGATATACAATCAAACAGTTACTGGTACCATCAGAATTTTAACCCTTCACTTGCTGCTGAAGATGGGGACCTAGCGCTTATGGGGGTGTCCCGAGTGCTGTGATGTTGATTCCTAATTCAACATTAAAAAAACATGTTGTAATAGCAACTAATTGAGGATTTGTTGCAAATGGATGTGTTGAGCTGAAAGATGACTCTGAATGCTGAATTAGAAATCGACATCACAGCACTCAGGATACTCCCATAAGCGCTCCATCGCCATCTTCAGCAGCAAGCGAAGAGTTCCATCTCCGATGGCACCAGAACTGTCTGATCATATATCTATCTTTTAAGATCAGAGGCTACCAGTGTTTCCGATCTGACCGCAAAGACAGGAGAAAAGGTGGAATTCTTACCCTGGTCAAAAATAACATCCCTGCGGGCCGGATTGAAACATACATGGAAGGTGCTGAGTATCAAACTGTTGAGCTCAAGTTAGAAAATACAGATTTACATCTGACCAACTATTACTGTCCAAGCGACCGCCCTCAGGCACTGGATACTGTACTAATAAATGAAAAAATGATCATTTGTGGGGATTTTAATAGCCATTCCCAAAGTTGGGGCTACGATCATATGGACCAGAGAGGAGAGAAACTAGAGGACTGGCAGGATGAGAATAGGTTCATCCTCGTAAATAAGCCAACCGACCCACCAACCTTCTACTCTAGAGCATGGCATACCACCTCGACACCAGACCTAGCCTTTCACTCAGCAGACATGGAACTGAATATTACCAGAACTGTTGGGAAGCAACTAGGAGGCAGTGACCACCGGCCAGTCTTTCTAACTATCGAAAGCCAGTCTGTAAGAGAGAGCAGCACACTGCCAAGGTGGAATTTTAAGAAGGCAGACTGGAAGTTATATCAGCTTCGCACAAATGTTCTGCTGGAAAATCTTAACACAGATAATGACGTAGAAAAAGTAGTCCAAGAGTTGAGCAAACACATACTGCAGGCAGCCCTAGAAGCAGTTCCAAGAGGTGCGCGTAAACAATACAAACTGTACTGGAATTGCGATCTGGAGCAACTGCACAACAATATGGAAACAGAAAGAAAACAGGCTGAGACCAGACCTTGTCAAGAGCAGTTTAACAATTACCAACATTCAAAGGCCAAATTTCAAAGAGCCAAACTGCAGGCTAGACGGAGAAGCTGGCAGGAAAAGACAAAGTCCCTAAACTTTGAAAGAGACACAAGGAAGTTGTGGAGGTTAATTAAGCAAATTAATGATGAGAATACAGGGAGAAATGGTTATATTGCACTGTGCAAAGAGGGAGCCATCCTAACAAGAAAACAGGCAGCTGACCACTTTGCAGATTCCTTTGCAGAAGACAGCAACATTAATGTCAGCCCAGAGAAACAGCGAGAGGTTCAAGAAAACAAACAACATACAAGACAAAAAGATATAATTCCCGAGGCACTGGTGGCAGCATTTACATCCAGCGAGTTAGAATTAGCAATATCAAAGCTGAGAATGGGAAAATCACCTGGAACTGATGGAATCACCAACGAAATGATCAAGAACCTTGGAACAACTGCCAAAATAAAGCTGCTACAGATCTTTAATCATTGTTGGACCAGTGGCAAAGTTCCTCAAATATGGAGAGAAGCAATCATAATACCTCTGCTTAAACCAGGAAAGGACAGTTCTGATGCCTCCAGCTATAGACCGATCAGTCTTACCAGCTGCCTCTGTAAAACAATGGAACGTATTGTCAACCTTAGACTCCAATGGTACTTGGAAAAGTGAAAACATTTTCACGCCGCAGCAGGCAGGATTTAGACAGTGCTACTCCACAGAAGACCAGACAACTTACCTTTCACAAGAAATTGAGGATGCCTTCCAGGAAAAGAAGCTAGTGCTAACGGCATGGATAGATCTGAAGAAAGCCTTTGACAAGGTCTGGAAAGAAGGTCTACTGAAGAAACTGAGAGACTGCAGGGTGAATGGGAGTATGTACAAATGGGTCAAAGCATACTTGTATAACAGAAGATCCCGAGTACAGATAGATGGACTTAAGAGCAAGAAAGTTTTGCTGCGCCATGGCGTCCCACAAGGAGGTGTCCTGTCCCCCACTCTTCCTAGTCTATATCAACGACCTGCTTTCTGAACTACCCCATGGAATTAAAGCTGCAATGTATGCTGATGACTTGGTACTCTGGTGTACAAATGAAAATGCGACAGTGGCCACCAGACTGCTACAAAGAGCCATAGATGCAATGGCTAAATGGGCTGACAAATGGTGTGTCAGCATCAACATAGGCAAATGCAGCACCACTCTCTTTACCCTTTCTCCTAAACAAAAATCAGGCGCCATGCACATAAATGGAGTACCCCTGAGAGAGGATAAGGAGCCCACATACCTCGGCGTAACGTTTGATGATAGATTAACATGGAGAAAACACATCAACAAGGCAGCAACCAAAGCCAGAAGGAGGGTAGCCATTCTGAGAAAACTAAGTGGAACCACATGGGGTGCTAGCGGGAAAATACTTAGAAAAGTTTACCAACAAAGTGTTCGACCACATCTTGAATACGGATCAACAGCATGGAGTTCGGCATCAAAAACCACATTGCAAGAATTAGACAAAGTGCAAAATCAAGCACTCAGGAGTTACCACAGGCAGTATGAAATCAACACCTATAGCTGTGATGGAGAAAATGGGGATGACCCAAGCACTAAGTGAACGCAGAGACACCAAGATGCTTTTACAAGCAGAAAAGTTTCTTAGTATGCCCAGTCACCCTATGAATGAAAGATTCAAAAATTTAGCTTTGGGACGACTAAAGAGAAGTAGTTTTATCCACCAGGCCAAACGGCTCGGCAGACAAACCACTGATTTACCTGCAACTGATAGATCCTTAAATGCTGTCCCAGAACGGACCCCCTGGAGAGAGGAGTATAAGTTTCCAATACACATCAAGACTGAAGTGAAAGGGGTATTTGACAAGGAAGAACAAAACAGTGTGCAGCGCAAAACAGCCACCCTCAGTTTACTTGATGATAAATACCCGCAGAACCTTTGGGTCCGTGTTTACACAGATGGGTCAGCAGAAAGCGCAGTCAGAAACGGAGGTGCGGGAGTGTACATTGAGTATCCTAATAATACCAGGGATACAGCCAAATTACCAACGGGAAAGCACTGTCACAACTATGATGCAGAAGTTCAAGCCATCAAGATAGCGGTAGAGAAACTACTAAATACAGGGTATTTTTCACAACCAGTGGTATTCCTGACAGATGCAAAAGCAGTACTTCAGTCACTCCAGTCTGGAAAATTACCAAGCATACGGACACTATTATCCGAACTAGGCAACCGCTGTAAATTAGTAATGCAGTGGATACCTTCCCACTGTGGAGTTCCCGGAAACGAAAAAGCTGATAAACTAGCTAAGGAAGGTGCAACTGAAGAACAACCTGACATACCAGTCTCTTATCAACAGAAGAAGAGAATGATCAAATCAATCAGAATGCCACCGAAACTGGCACAAGATGATTACCATATTATGGACAGACCAGAGCAAGTTATTATCCTTCGCCTTAGAACAGGGCACAATAGACTTCGCTCCCACATGTACAACAAATTTAAGATTGGCCAATCGGCCATGTGTACTTGTGGACTGGCACCTGAAACAACAGATCACATCCTTCAAGACTGTCCCATATTCAACGCTTTCAGGCAAAACATTTGGCCAAAAGAGACACCTGTGGAAGTCAAACTTTACGGGCCGCTTAGTGAATTACAAAAGACAGTGAAATTCATACAAGAGACGGCTTTGCAGATATAGACAATTTATTTCATGCGAACGAAAGAAGAAGAAATATATCTATCTCGCCTTTCCCTTGAGTAAGAAAGGTGATATCACAGCATACCTGTAAATCACAACATGCCAACTGCCCTTCTAAGGGTGAATGCCAAAAGAGAACACAACACCACATTTATATTTATTTAAGAAAAAAAAAGCAAGGATATTACCGTTTTAACACCTGTGATTTCACCAAGAGCAGTTTGCATTTCATTGCCTTCTTGAACTTGATCAAGTTCCACTGTCACAAACTTCACACCAAAGTTACTCAACAATGTCTTGGAGTGCTGACAGTAAGGACATTGAGACTTGCTGAAGATGACCACTCTGTGTTTCCTGACAAGACTCTGGACCAAGTCTTGTCTCAGAGTATTTCTAGAAGATCCTGCCAAGGGGTGGTCGTCTGTGACTATGTACTCCTCTGGGGCAAAGTCTACACAGGTGTCCATGAATGCTGTAGTAAATAAAATTGTACTTTCATTTTAGCTCACCCTAAACACAGGGAACCCAGGATTTCCCCGGGAAGTCCAATATTACAGGGGTGTTACGGTTTGAAATGAACACCGAATAACCTTAATGCCAACCCTAACACCTTTAAAATATTTGACTCTTCTGGGGTTCCCAGTGTTTGGGTGAGCTAAAATGAAAGTACCAGTAGAATTACTCTAGATATTACAGCAATAGGTACTTATATTTTAGTATTTTAAGGAATCCGAGTTCCCAGGAAACTCCAAAATTATGTTGGGGGTGGGGTCCGTCGGTGCTGATTTCACATCGTAAAGATTGGACTTTCTCCAAGATGGGATGAATTAAAATGAAAGGGCCCAGAAATGAATAAATACTGCAGCCTAAACTCTTTCATTACCAGGAAACATCATATGTTTATTAACCCTTTCACTCTGCGATTGCTTAAAAAAACAGGGTCATGAATCAATTGGAATTGCCTGAAAAATAATTTGTAGAAAATTTACCAGAATATTACTGGTGGTACCGGTAGAAAGTAATAAAATAATTTCTTCTTCGCGTTCAACTCCTGCGAAAAAATATGGTTGTTCGGTACTTTTATTTTAGTTCACACCATCTCTTGGAATTCGAGAGTCCCGGCAAAGTACAATATTACTCCCCCCCCCCCCCCCCCCCCCCCATCTCACCACACACAATATTGAACTTTTCTTGGGACATATCCCATTCCCTGAGATGGAGTTAACTAAAATGAAAGTACCTTTTGTACATCCTTTATAAAGATATGGCTGATCTATGTGCAGACTGTTGATTCCTCCAATCTCTGGCAAATGCAGACTTCCAAGGAAACACCCCAATTAGTACTTACAACATGCTGTGTTAAGAATTGACATCACAGCACTCGGGGCATTTCCATGCATGCTTTGTCCTCATCTTCAGCAGCCAGCGTAGAGTTCCAGTATGGATGGTACTGGTCACAATCTGGTTATATGTCTATCTTGCCTTTCCTCTGAGTGTAGTGAGCTGGCCAGACCCTCTGGTTACACCCAGGTGCCTCATTCTCTCCAGGCCATAATAATAATCTTTCGGCACTTTTCCGAATAACGGGGACCTGTATTCAGAAGAGTGCCTCATCTATCTCTACTGATTCCGCTGCTTGTTACTAAAGGGCCTTGACCACAACTGCCTTGACATGTATCAATTCCCCGCCCAGTGGTGCAGATCCAGCCAGTCTGTCTGCCTGTTCATGGTCTACATCATGTTTGTTAGAGGACAGTGCTACAGTGGTGCTACAGAACCCTTCGGTGGACCCAGAGTGGAGGAAGGGCCTGTTACATAACAATAATGATGACTTCTGCCAGGGCCACTAATACCTGTTGGTTTCTTTACAAGACTGGCTTTCTTACAAGGGCCCTACTCATACAAGACAGCAAGTTACTTCACTATATCAAGGTGCCCCAACAGAGTTGTTTCACGCCGCTGAAAAGGGTTTTGGGATTTGTTCCCAGGGACGTTGAGTGCTCAGGCACCATCAACCCCCACCCACAAAATGGGTCCTTTACTTGACTTGCTCTTCGTTGGCTACTGAGAATGGAGAAAGACTACCTGAGGTAATGTCCCGAGTGCGGTTATGTTAATTCTTGGCTCTCCTTTCAACTACGGCCGGTAGACGGCCAGTTAGTCGGAGTTCTGTCCCCTTGCTGCAGTGCAATTACGGAGTGGAAAGGAAGGAACGAAACAAATGATATAATTACTGTGTGTTGGCGATAGACAGTGTGCACTGCGCTGCTATAATCTTACGGTTTGGTTTAGGGTTAGGGGTAGGGTGTGGGTTAGGTTTAGGGTGTGGGTTAGGGTTACGGTTAGTGTGGCCGCATCTCGTCTTCACACAAACTCACAGTAGCAACCCTAACCCTAAACCTAACCCTACCCCTGCCCCAAACCCTAACCGTATGATGACAGTAGGGCACTGCACGCTGTCTATCGCCAACACACAGTAATTATGTCACTTGTTTCGTTAACTCTATTCCACTCCGTAATGCGTCGCAAGAAGCGGTAATTGAACGCTGTTGCTAATTTGAGTCGCAGCGCAGGGTCTGCCAGGCATGTTACCTCACTGTGTTTTCTGATTCGTGCCTTCTCCAGTCCGTAATTGCACTGCAGCCAGGGGACAGAACTCCGACTAAACGGCCGTCTACTGTTGTAACTTGTATACCGGTCGTAGTTGAAAGGACAGCCAAATTCTTGATTCCTTCCATTTATCTCACATCCGCATCGTTTTAAATTGAAATAGCGCCACTGGAGTAAGTAATGTCAGGCAAATTTCTAGGTCTTCGATTAACCTAGGCTTTGATATATGAAGCACATAGGACTATCCCATCCTCGTTGCCTTTGCTTCCGAGACACTTTCCATGAAAAAAACCCATCACAGAATAACATCGAAACGAATAATTTAAGCTACAACTAAAATCTCACCTCTTCTACGAAGTCAAGTTGTCGTCTGGAATCAGTGTTGCCACTTTTCTTTGACAAAAAACATAAAAACATCTAAATTTGCATTGAAAACATCTAGAAAAAACATCCAAATGGAAAGAGTCACAAATTACATAGCTTTTGATACGACCAAAGACATATTAGAAATATGGAAAGAATACTGTAGAGAAATGTATGAGGATGTAACAGGTAATTCAAAAACGACTTGTGAAAGTTATGAAAAAGAACCAGAGCCTTTACTGGATGAGGTACGATCAGCAATACACAGCCTGAAGAAAGGAAAGTCACCAGGTTGCGACGAAATACCAGCAGAACTAATTCAAGCAGGAGGAGAGGCCAGCGTCCGAATCTACCATGCACTGTGCTCGAAGATCTGGAACAGTGGCATTTGGCCTAAAGCGTGGAAAAGAACAGTCTATATCCCTCTCCCAAAGAAAGGAAATCCAAAACTATGCTCCAACTACCGTAATATCGCATTAATAAGTCATGCTAGCAAAATCCTCTTACGAATTTTCATGAAAAGGATTGAAAGGAAATTACAATATGAACTAGATTAAGCACAAATGGGTTTCAGACAGGGTAGAGGAACTAGGGATCACATTTTTAATATGAGAATAATTTTTGAAAATTGCAAAGAATACAATGTAGATCTTCATGTTTGTTTTATTGATTATAGCAAGGCATTTGATTGTGTCCAGCACCACAAACTGTGGACTCTTATGAAAAGTATGAGGTTTCCAGCGCATTTAGTGCATTTAATTGAAAATCTTTATCATGAACAACAAGCAGCCATCAGAGCAACTGGTGAACAATCTGATTGGTTCGAGGTGCAAAAAGAAGTGAGGCAGGTGTGCATTCTCTCACCCTACCTATTTAATATATACGCAGAAAATATAATGATAAATGTCAAAAATGACCAGACTTATGACAGTTATGATCCGCTCAAAATTGGTGGCAACCCTATTCCGGAACTCCGCTACGCAGGTGACACAGTCCTCCTTTTGAACAGCGTAAAGGGAATAGGAAATTTAATAGTGTCTGTCCAAAAGCACAGTGAAGATCAAAATCTGTTCTTGAATTAAAAGAAAACGAAATTAATGTCCACAGATAAAACTGGCAGTCACCCAAAATAACAATAAATGATGAAGAAATTGAAAATGTCACAAACTTTGAATATCTAGGCTGTATAATAAACAACAATGGAGACTGTTCGACAATAATTAAAAGGAGAATGGCCATAGCAATGCAAAGATTGAACAGCCTTAAAAGTCTATGGTTAAGCACCAGCAAGGAGATAAAAATTAGCATTTTGAGAGCATGCATCTTCCCTGTGGCTATACGGATGTGAGTCGTGGACTATCTCTCAGTCCTTAAGAAAGAGAATAGGGGCTATTGAGCTGAAATGCTATAGTAAGATTATCAGAATATCTTGGACAAAGAAGATGAGAAATATTGACATCTTAAAAGATATGAACATCGAGGAAGATTGGCTAATAAACAGCATCCTTTCTCGAAAGCTAAAATATTTTGGTAATATCAAGCGCCACGACGGATTGGAAAACAATTATAGCAGAAGGCATGGTACCAGGAAGGAGGGGCAGGGGCCGACCGACACGAAGATGGGCACAGGATATAAGTGACTCCTTGAGTGTGAAAGTTCATGAGGCGGGAGAACTGGCGAGAAACCGAGTTTCTTTCAGGCAGACTGTGATGAGAGCGACGTTCTGCAAAGGACCTGCTACATGATGATTGATACGACTTACCCTATAGTCATGTCCTCATCTTCACCGATGTCTACCTCACAAGATCCACAGGATACAATTAGCTTGGATGATGAAGTTGAAGCTTCAGATCCAAAATTACTCTGGTATGCTTTAACTGTTCCAGTTTATATTAATACACAATCAGGGAGCTAATTAGTGGAACAGCATTTTCCTACTCGCATCATGTGAAGGTAAGCAATTATTATTTTTTTAATCACATAATAAAGAAACACAGTGAGTCAGCACAGTGAGAATACGGTTGAAACAAAGCTAGTATGATTTACGCGCGCTTTTAATTAATCAGTACCGGGGCTGCCAGATATTTTAGCGTCGACACCAGTGAGAGTACAAAGTTTAAGTAATCGCAATTGTCACATTGTACGCGCCAGACCAAAACAAAAATATTGTAGTAAATATTTTACACAGTAATTATTAAACTGACACTGAAAGAAACAAACTCTATAAAATATCTAACTCCAAATGAAAATCATCTGGAAAAACATCTACAATCTAAACGTCAAAATCACAAAATAAATGCATGGAAAAACATCTAAATCTGGATGTAAAACATCCAAAGTGGCAACACTTTCTGGAATCCATCACGTACTCTCTAAGTGTTAGAAATAAATACTGTTAAAGATACTTGTTAGCATTAATATTTAAGATTCAATTGTTACAACAGAAAAGAAACTGTTTTAAAGCATACAATATCATTAAAATTTAGAATTAAT